TAATTTAACTCTTAAAAATAGTTGATAAGTGATAAAATAGTTAATATTTATTATTTAATAAATTTAAATAAATTTATAAATAAATATTTTTAAATATCATAATTAATTATTTAAAATTTTATAAATTATTATTAAAATAGACAATAATTGATACTATTTTTAGATTAATACATTTCACAATGTATTTATTAAAAAATTATTATTTTTTAAATTCAAATTAAAAGTAAAAAAATCAAAAATTACATATTTTAATGAGTAAACTAATAAATATTATAAAATGTATTAAATCAAAAAAATATACTAATTATTTTTCTATTAAAATTAAGGACCTTAACAAATTAATAAAATTATTGATGGCATTTCAAAAAAGAAAAAATATTATTGGTGGCAACGTCAATCCTGTTGTTACTACTGCAGGCCAGTCAATAAACAGGCGCAGCTTAATTAGGGCTGCTGTAGTTTTGGTCAAAAGTCGCTGTCCTTTCTATCAGCTAAACTGATTATAACGGCTGTGGTTATAATCATAATTAATTTTATTAAGATTATTAATTTTATTTGCAATTTAATTAGTTTACAATTTTTTAATAATTAATTATAATATTTAAAAATATTTATTTATAAATTAATTTTAATTTATTAAATAATAAGTATTAATTATTTTATTAATTATTAATTATTTCTAACTATTAAACTAAAATAAAAATTTAACCATTTTAATAACATTAACAAATTAATGGTGGCCATACTATGCCCATTTATAGCTTGCCGTGTCTGCATCACTGTCATTTTCTTTGACGCAGACACAAAAAAATTTTATCTATTAGTTAAACATATTAATCTTTGCCGTCTCATCTTTCTTTGGGTTGATATATTTTGTCTATTAGTTAAAAATATTAATCTTTGCCGTCTCATCTTTCTTTGGCATTTCTAAAGAAGTTTCTAATTAGTTGTTTGATTCGTGCAGTCAATTATAACACGAAATTGTTGAATAAAAGGGGTAAAAAATGAAACACTCTCTCAAGAATTTTAACAGACAGTTAGTGAGCGTAATGAACAATGAAGATAAAACTATGCAATCTAAAAAGTAAAGATCACAACATGCTATGTAGATCTCCAGTAATAACAGAATAGAAAGAAATTTATTTCAGATAATAAAATTCCAGTCATCAAATAAATGAACCATAAAATAGTCAAGGTGCCAATAAACAAAACTACAAAATAGCAACCACTATACTGAAAATTAAAACACATTAAACTACTTCCTAATAACTAGGAAACACAAAGACACGTACAAAGAAATGGCTAAATACCAAGAAAAAATCTAAAGACTTATTCAACAGAAATACCTCTTAATGTGATGCTTTCTCTTTGGCATTTAAGGTAAGTTCATATTTCTATATTGTGTTTTATTTTTTTGGAATATTGGAAACTAAGATATAAAATAGGGCTATTCTTTTTCTTTCCCAAATCTATTTTCATTCATGGTAAATTTTATATTTAAAATTTTCAACGTAAAAATTAAAGTTCATGATTAATGGAATGTCTTCCTAGAAGACATTTCTATATTGCGTTTTGAATATTATAGAAAAAGTATTGTAATAAAACAATCACAAAGGAGAATATATATAGGAGTTAATGCTTGTTTGCCTTATTTCTTAAAAATTATGACAAAAATTACTTTTAAAATTATGTCATTTCAAAAAAATACCACGAGAAAAAATAAAAAAACTCTCTAATTCGTATTTTAAAAATAAAGTACTTTAGTATTTTTCAATGAGATTGGTATTTTTCAATGAGAGTTTATATACTTTAAAAATAAAGTATTTTAGTACTTTTCAATGGAAATTTATTGAAATGACATAATTTTAAGATAATTTTTTTCCTAATCTTTTAAAAAATAAGGCATATGGACACTATTCATATATATATATATAAGTGCATTATTTTACAGCTTGAATTGTTTCGAACTATAAAATAAGGATCCTTTGATGGAGAGGGCCTTTGATATTAGGGCTCACCCCTTCAAATGATTAAATTTTATATTTTGAAACAATATAAGCTATAAAATACTTTTTCGTATATATATAAAGAAGATAATAAAATTATTAATAAGTGTTTTTTATATTATTATTATTT